TGTTGAAGAATTTGACGGCCTCCTCGCCCATCGATAACGTCTTCTTTGAGCAAGCCAAGGAACTTTGGAGTGACTGTAGGATGATCGATCAGTGAAGGAGAAGATGGCGACACCAATTCACCATATCCAGGAGGCGATGTAGTTGGCTAAATGTTGTAGAGACCAACAAGATTGGAATTGCTGAAGCATTTTCAGGGACCGACTATTTCTCACTTAGGTGGCCCAAAAATCTAGGCTGGTGTCTTCAAACTCACAACTAGTTATATTTACGATAAAACCACAGGAGTCGAGTTGTTCGAACAATTTTTGAAGATGAGCCTTGAATTCAGCAGTACCAGAGCTTGTCACCAGTAAATCCTTAACGAGATCGAGGCTTCGAAGCACTTGGTCGGTGAACCGCTGCAATGTCTGAGTGGCTCTCCTCAGGCGAAATGATATTCGAGTGAATTCATATAAGACAAAAGCAGTGATAAAGGCGATTTCTGACGCACTACTGGCTTCGAGTGGGATATAGTAGTAAGCGCACTTAATACGCGCTTACCATGTAACGAGAGAATAAAATCCCGGATATATGGGACGGGATATTGATTAGGGATGAACATTGAGTTCAACGTCCGGTAATCACCACATGATTGCCACTCACCCGCCATCGTTTTGGAAACTATATGGAAGGGTGATACTCAGCAGCTGTTAGACTGTCTGACGATGCTGATCCCACGCATATGTTCGAACTCTGACTTGGGATTATGCAAACGGTCTGGTGCAAGACAACGCAGTTGGCAAGATTTGGGGGGTCCATTGGTGGGAATGAAGTGTGTGATTGTGTGTGTGATTTCGACTTCTCGAAATTTTGATTTGGAATATTTCTGAGGAGTGAATTCTAAGGCTAACCTCGGCACCGAAGCCGATTAGGAATTCGAGGCTGCTCCGACCACCTACTATGTGCGTATCACCTGCACCCTCTCATGCCTCCGGCCTTCTTGAATTGCTCATGACACCGGGCTCGGAAGAGAGAGGAAAGGGAGAGTGTGTGTGAGAGAGAGAAAGGTAAACGCCATGCAAGATTCCTTGTGACATTCTTTACGTCAATATCATATTTGGGTTTCATTTGCTACTGTGTGTTTGGAACCCGAAGTGGCCAAGGCATGTGTCCTTATTCCCGTTTCGTCATCCACCATTGCCCCATCTCCTGTCCCCCTTGACCTCGTTTTCTTCCTTCCCATTCTTATTCACCCTCGTTCTTTGTTTCCCGCCCCTTGTCTTTATTCACTTATAAACTGTCGGACACACGTATGCGTCATTCACAGGTCTGCTCGTCTATGCATCTCGAATACACGTCCACCTTCCTTTTGATTTATATCTCTAAATTTTCTAAATATCGTGCACTGTTAATCTTACTTTTTATTTCTATAGAACCACACACAAAGAATATCTGAGTTATTCCGACTGTCTTTTGACGTAGCTTTTGATCGTGGCTACCACTATTCAGGTGACAAAACTAGCACTGAATTAAGAAAGGCTAAAAAATATTAACGCTTCTATCTCTTGAAATTAATCTATATTGACCCAACTCCACGTGAAACGCTCAATCTCTTGTCTCTCGCAACTATCAGTACAAACGCACCAATTCGGTCTCTCTGAGGCTGACTCACACATGATCGCACTGTAGACGCTGTGATGGCTACCATGCGCTCATAATTCGGACGCCGCCCTCTGGGCTGCGGACGCGTAATCATTCAAGTGCCAACTTCCTCCATCATATTCTTCACTATCTCTGTACAGAATACGCAAGTCTTCCCACCTGGTATCCCACTCCTTCGTTTCTTCCATGAAACCAGGCCCGATAGTCACAGCGGTAATGATCACCTTTCCAAGCGTAAGCTACCGCCCTGTACCGCCCCGCTGTGGAACAGATGGTGGAGGTTTTCTGAAGAGGCTGTCTAACTGTCGGGTTACTTAAGGAACAACCCGAGTTAGCTTGGACCACTTCTGATATAGCATGTCAACCTCTCCGCAGGATTTCCGAAGTGGGAGGAGAGGAAGGGGATGGAAATCAGAATTACCA